GCTGCCGCGCACCGTTCTCAGAGATGCCGCCGCCGCGCCGCTACTTTCTTTATAAATGTCACGGCTGATTTATGATTCTGATTATTTTCCTACATTGCTCTCTAAATACATTTTCCATTAGCCGATTCCCATTAAAAAGGGTCTTTCGTAGAACTCGGGTGGGGAATGGGGAATCCAAGGAAAATGCAGAGTACTATTTACCTAGAAGGACAGTGTAACCACACGGGGGAGAAGGGAAACCCTCCAACCGATTCACCAGGCCCGGTTCACACCTGGGCGTTCTGTAGCGCGTCCGAACGCTCTGCAAAACGCTCAAACACCGAAATCCCATTATTTCCTATGGGCATGGTTCACACCTGGGCGTATTACAGGCCGCATGAACGCGCTACAAAACGCCCTACGCCCAAAGAAGTACAGGAGCTTCTTTGGGGCGTTTTTGTTGCGCCTTTCCATTGGGATACAGCCAAGTAGCCCTCGGAAACGCGCGACAAATGCGCATATTCGATACGCCTAGGTGTGAACCAGGCAGCTTTCGTAGAACAGACGGTATCCACATGTCTCATTCCATCGCATATCCCAAAAATAAGAGGATTAGCCCTCATTTCAGGAACAGTCCTCTTATTTTTGGGATATGTGATGGAATGAGACATGCGAGAACCTTCTGTCCTAAGGAGGCTTTACGGATTCGGTTGGAGGGCTTTTTGATTCCTTTAGTCCCGCCTCCTAACCTGTATGGTTAGGAGGCGGGACTAAAGCCGTGGTTTCCATACACTACATTGATGATGGCCAAAAAGGCTGAAACAGCTGTGTGTAGTTTGGTTTCTTAGCCTTTTGGCTCAGATCCAGCGTAATATCTGTTCTTATGTGTCCAGGAGGGGAAATGTGTTGCTGTTCTGGCCCGTTCACACCAGTTGCAGTGCGTTCCGGCCCGAACGCACTGCCTCGCATTGCGGCCGGCTCACTTTTTAGTGGGGCAGGAGGGGGCCATTGAAGTGAACGTCACTGTAGCCACGCCCTCCGGCCGGAAATGCGAACGCCCGCACGGGAACGCAAGGCACATTGTGCCTGCGGTCCGGTGCGATCAAAATGCTGCAAGCACTATTTTGATCGCACCGGACCAGACTGCAGGCACAATGTGACTTGCGTTCCCGTGCGGGCGATCGCATTTGCGGGTGGAGGGCGTGGCTACAGTGACGTTCACTTCAATGGCCCGTCATGCCCCCTCCAGCCCCACTAAAAAGTAAGCCGGCCCCAATGCCGAGGCAGTGCGTTCCGGCCAGAACGCACTGCAACTGGTGTGAACGGATCCTTATGGTAGGGCAGCTGGCCGAATAGCTGGCTCCATGCTGATTGGCTGGGAAGCCGGCCAAACAGCTGCCTCAATGCTGATGGGCTGGAAAGTCGTCTTTCCCGAGCCAATCAGCATTGAGCTGGCTGCCCAGGCCAATCAGGAAGCCGGGTCATTAGTCGCCGCCCGGCTTTCTGATTGCCCGGGAAGCCGGATCCACGCGGATTGGCTGGGAAGCTGCTTTCCCGGCCAATCAGCATTGAGCCTGTCAAACATGGAGCCTGCTTCCCAGGAAATCAGGAAGCCGGGCGGCATGTCATTACCCGCTGATTGTCCCAGGAAGCCGACTTCATGCTAGTGGAAGCAACGGTATCAGAACCCGGTATCGGTGCATCCCTGGTTGTGGGTCTACCATGAAGTCTAGGGGGAGGATGTGTGGCCCATCAGGCTCCTTCCTCCCCTGAACCAGGGGTCACTGGAAGCATGTGTGAACACAGCCAATCAGGGGGAGTCCTGTGATCCCTGCGAGAGGTAATAATACCTGGGAGAGTTACACATCACTCAGCACGCTGCACTGATCATACAGATCCGATGACAGGTCCACTTTCACCAGACTGAGAACACAGAGGTAACATGCGGTTCTGATCAGCTTTGGGGGGGATGGGATTCTCTTTGATTGCTCTTTCTTCTCTTGATTTCGTCTCTTACAATCGGCGCTGGATAAGACGCGGGGGGCACTTAGCGGAATCTGCGGGAGATGCGTGCGTTGCTGTGAACCCCCCCCCGGGTGCTGCTGACCTGGGATGACACTCCGGCACCTGCTCCACGTTCCTCGGCTTTTCCTGCACGCGGCTCCTGAGAATTTGCCTGGTTACAGTAGCAAGGTCAGCGCTCGTGCTCGCGGATCGTTGCTAAGCAACGCTCGCTAAACCTTCTTGAATTTCCTGCTTTCTGCAGGGTTCAGCTCAGGCTGTGGCTCTGCGGTGCCGGCAACGTTCCCAGGATGGCTTTAGGGGGGATGGGGGTGACTGGTGGGCGCACCACCATGCTTTGACAGAGTGACGGCCAGAGCGTCAAAAAAAAGACACGATGATCATTTAAAGCTGGACAGCCAAAGGATTTGTATCACTGTCTATCCAGTCCTGAGATTTACACAGCTCTGTCTAGCAGGAGACCGGATTTTTCCTCTGCTGCAGTTCAGTAACACATACAGGTCTTGCCCCTCCCCCGGCCTGTGATTGGACAGTGAAAGAAGAAGGAGCCAACTGATAAGCTCATCTCTTTCACTCTGCTCTCTCCTCCTATCAGCATGCTCTTTGCACTGAAGCACGCCCATATTCTGTTCTGCCCCCTGGCTCAATGAGCTCTGCTTTACAGGGACTGCAGAGACCTATACCAGGCCAGATTTAGGCACTAAAGGCCCCCACACACCTTACGATAATCGTACGATAATCGCGGGAAATCCCGCGATCGTACGATTATCGTAAGGTGTGTGGAAGACTTTGAACTTACGGACATGTTCGAAAACCCGCCGAGCATCGTACGACGTTGAGCGGGTGTATAGCATGTTCGTACGATAACAGCCGTACGGGCCGGTGTGCGCAAGCGCACACTGCCCGTTCGGCATTGCGGTCATCGGAAGCCCGCCCCTCAGGGGGCGTGGCTTGCGATCATCGCAAGTACGATCTGCCTGTCCAAGATAGGCAGATCGTACGTTTTTTTAAGTACCTTACAACCATCGCAAGACAAAAGTCTTGCGATGGTTGTAAGGTGTGTGCCCGGCCTTACAAATAAATTTTAAGTGTATGTAAACCTTAAAAGAAATTCTCGGAGTGCATTCCTCTGTTCCTTTTTATTGATTTAATTGCAAGGATCAGCAGCAAATACCCGGAGATCCAACCAACGCGTTTCACCCAATTGGCCATCATCGGGGGCTGGCTATAGGAATAGTCGGGATTCATGCTTTTGTTTCAGATTTGATTATATAATAGATTTTACTCTACAATGTCTGATGACAAATGTTTAATATATTACATTAGGGATGCACCAATACTGACACTACAATCGGCGCCGATGCCGAGTACTCCCCCGAATGCTCCGATGCCTCGCCCGACACTTCTGGTATCAGGAAGCCGGGCAGCGCGTCATTACCCGCTCCCCAGCTTCCTGATTGGCCGGGAAGCTGGCTCCATGCTTCCCAGCCAATCAGGAAGCTGAGCAGCGTGTCATGACTCGCTGCCTGGCTTCCTGATCGGTCGGGAAGCTGGCCAATCAGGAAGCCGGGCGCCGTGTAATGATGCGGCACCTGGCTGTCTGCTTGGCCGGCTTCATGCTCCCTCGTCACCTTATGATGAGGGAGCACGGAGCCGGCTTCGTGGCCATTCAGGAAGATGGGCGCCGCGTCATTACA